GAGAACCCAAAATTGCAAGAAGCCAGACTTACTGGTCAGAGAGAGGCTGGAGGAACTAACCCCCTTGGTCACCCATGAGGTCTGAAACTAAAGTCACGCTGGTGTAAGAATAAGCCACCATTAAGATATTTATGAAGGTAGCATTTGTGCACAGTCCGAGGGGAACATCCAGGGTGCAGTGCAGCGCTGATGAAGCAGCCAGCTGTCCTCCCACTACTATGGCCCTAGTTCTACCTCACTCATCCTGCTCGTCCTGCGCACGTACATGGGTATGAAAAGATTCTTCGATGCACGGAATTCAAGACACAGTGTCCCCTCAGACACAGGAAGAGCAGTGTTGGTCTCTGAGGGTCTAGGAAGGGGTGGGGGAGGCGGGAGGACAGATGGCTGTGATGGCTGTATAACCCCACGCGAAGGGAACAATCATCAGAATTTAAGGACAATGGATACACAGGATGGTGTCAGTTAAGGCAAAAATAATAAATAATAATAATACATAATATACTGAGGGTTCAGGAGGGTGGCAAGATGGGGGAGGGAGGGGATAAAGGGAAGCTGATATCAAGGAGTTCAAGAAGAAAAGAAAATATATTGAAATTGTGGGCAGAAATTGTGCTTGAAATAATGGATTATAATAATATCTGTAGAAGCTCCTAATACAGTGTTCTGTGTGCATGTGTGTGTGTATATAATGTTTTATATGTGTGTGTGTGTGTGTGTGTATAGTTTTATATATAGTTATAGTTCTATATAGTTATACATATATAGTTATATATAGTTATACACTCAAATACAAGGCGAGCCTTTCAGCACATTTTAAATGCAGTTTTCATGATAAAATTAGGTCCCTTGGCTAATATTCGGGTCGGCTTATCCTCGAATATACATATATATATAAATCATTTTATTGGGGGCTCATACAGCTCTTATCACCATCCATACATTCATCCATGTGTCAAGTACATTTGTACCTATGTTGCCATCATCATTTTAAAGCATTTTTTTCTACTTGAGCCCCTGGTATCAGCTCATTTCCCCTCTCCCCCAACCTCCCTCATGAGCCCTTGATAATTTATCTATGTTTTTTCATATCTTACACCAACCACTGTCTGCCTTTACCCACTTTTTGTGTTTGTCCCCTGGAAGGGGCTAGCTGTAGATCATTGTGACTGGGCGCCCTGTCCTCTCCCACCTCCTTTTGAACTGGCTCTCAAGTCTTTTCCCTCCTCTCTGTGGCCTGGGCCACGCCGGCCCAGCTCCTCGTGACAGGGGAGAAGCCACTGGCACGCGCATGCAAGGCAATGGGAAGCCTGGGTTACGTCCTGTCCTCACGGCGATTCCTTTCTTGTGCAGAGATTCTGAACGGTGCTGTGAGATTCAGCAATAACCCCGTCCTCTGCCACGTGGGGACCGTCCAGTGGCGAGACATTGTGGACAGTCATTTTATGAGCAACATGTCGATGGACCTCCAGAACAGTCTGGACAACTGTAAGTATTCCACGAGCTCTCCCTCTCTGTCCCCAGTGCCTGGGAAGGGACTTCAGCCGTAGAATGTGAGGAGTGCGTAGTCGTGAGAGAAGTATGTGGAAATATCTGTGTTAAGTGGCACTAGCCTGTTCACGTTGTCCATGACTCATGGCCACGCTGGGTCAGAGGAGCAGGGTGCTCCGTAGGGTTTTCAATGGCGTACTGTTCAGAAGTAGCCGGACCATCCGGCCCTTTCTTCTCAGGTAACTCTGAGTGAGCCTGAACCTTTGAGCTCTCGGTTAGCTGCCAAGCTTGGTAGTTGCTTGCACCACTCAAGGACCTGTTAGTCTACGTAGTAAATAAATGATTTGCCTCCTTGAAGAGTGTTTATATAAGATGGAGATAAAAGCCTATTTTTGTGTGGGGCCACCGAGTCCTTGTGTGTCTGTTGGAAGGAGCCCGTTGCAGGGGGCCTGGTGCAGGGCTCACTTGTCATTCCTGGCCTGAGGCTCTTTCCCAGCCTTTCTTGTGGAGGGTGGCCAGACTCTGGTCTGCTTCTTGCTTGCTGCCAAGTCCCATAATGCCCCCGAAGCCTTCTGGAAACCTGGGGCTGAACTCTGTCCTCCTGGGGACAGGCGCTGGCACTCTCTCTCAGAGCCTCCAGCAAGTGAGATGCGGGGCAGCAAGGGAGTTTGTCCTGTTTCCCTGAGCGGGACGACCCCCTCCCTGCTTTCTTCAGCACTAAGGCACCTCACGGGGGCCTGGCTCCCAGGCAGTAGGTTAAGGTCGAAGCACTCGTCCCACTGCCAGCTTTGTGTGCCTTACATTTACTACCAATCCCTGTGTGTCTGGGGTCTTTCCACACCACGGTGTCAAAAATAATCACCATTTCCTCTTTCCAGGTTTGTCTATAACTCTGCAGTGGGTGCATATTTGGCGTTTGTTTTTGGTTTGGGTCTCAAAGATTTTGACGCAAACACGGATCTTCAAAATTATCAACTAGAACCTCTTTGTTTTATAGCTACTTTATTCCGCCAGGTTCCCAGAATGTGCCAGGTATCCACACTCACTGTTTGCAAGAAACGGAAAGCTATATGTTAAATGGTTTGATTTTACATTATCCATCAGATCAAAGTAGATTTCCCCAACTCTATGATGTATACTGAGATGGCTAAATTGTTCACTTTTGGGGGGTAAGCATAATATGCAAGAAATTGTTCCCTTTTATAACAAAGCAAGACCCTCCAAAAATGACATCTGTGGTAAAGCCCTGAGCATTATGGGAATTTACCGTGAATCGAATCTAAAGGTGCCATTGGTTACTACCCTCACTTGCTCCCCTGATTGGTGTGGTGGTTTGAGGGAACAAGAAGCGCCCAGAGAAAAGGCTGGCAGTCTGCTTCCGAAAATGCGTTCCTTTTGAAAACCCCGTGGAGCCTCGTTTTACTTTGCCACTCCGGGCCTTGTCGGCTCTTAAACTTCTGGGGGTTGCCTGGCTTAGAATCTACTTGAGAGGCACTTGGTGCCTGAGCTCAGGGCTTCCTTCCCAGCCAGAGGCCTGAATCGGATCAGGCCACCCACATCGGCTCCTCTACTCTCCACACTGCCAGACCCTGGAAAACAACCCTCCAAGAAAAGGTTGGAGAAGAAGGATGGACAAGTTCACACAATAAACAAGATTCAGAAGTACAACACTATGAAATTCAAAACACTGTGTTACTAGTGGAATAACAGGCAAGCTGATCAGCCTCACTGCAGCAACCATACTTCAAGAAGAGTCTCTGTGCAGACATAAGGGAAGAATGCATTGTGCAATAAATCCTCCTGGAGTGATTAAACAATTAGTGAGAGAATACAAGTGACAAACCCATGCAGGAATTTTTTTAAGGGAATCATAATGGAAAGTACAAAACCACTGTCCACCTGACATAGCTAGTATTTTCTTCATCCCTTCCCTCACAGTGGTAAGTTCCAAAGCAGATCACCCTCCTTGTAGAAAATGAAATATCGCTCCCTTGCCTACAGCCTTTTAGACAGGCTCTACAATACTTCTTAAAACCCTGTCCAAAAATCTTATGAGATCATTTAATTGTTTTAAGGGCACAGGAGCCAAGATCCATGGAGATTACACTATGTGCTACAGTAGGACTTGATAATTGGTGTAATTGGGGGTTTTAAGGCAGTATGCATAGATTTACTTGAAAAGAAAGTAAATTAATTACATATTTCATAACACCAGTATAAATTCCCAAGCATAATAAATTAAAATATTTAATATATTTAAGGGCTACAGGATACATAAAGATCAATATTTACAACCACAGTTGAAGAAAACAAAGTCTGATGTTACGTTTTAAAAACTTTTGAAGAAAAATGTAATAACAGAAAAATATTGTGTAATATCAAATTGCCATGAAAAGGTTTAATATCCTTGTTTATATAGTCTTTGAAATCCTAGGAAAAACATGAACCTCCCCCAAAAATGAGTCAGAAGATAAGCAGACCACACAGATATGCGCAGTAAGATGCTCCAAAAATAAAGTAAAATGTCATTTCTTTTTGTAATTAAAAGGATAAGATTAGGGAACATCATTTCTGCCTTCACCGGCGATTCCTTTTGATATGCAGACATCTAGATCTGCAGGGGTTACCAGAAATGGCTACTCTCAAGTCCTGCTTGTGGACCTATACGTTTTGGCAATATGTGTTGAAGCCTTTAAATATCTATGAATTTTACCTCTAGGGATAATAAGGAAAGAAAAAATAGAGCATTTGGAGTCACAAGGGAAGTAGGAAAATAGTTTTTAAAAGACTATTGCAGCCTTGTTTATAAAAACAGGGAAACAAATTATACATCTAAAATTAAGAGATCTTTTAAAATTGTTAGGTAGAAAGAGAACTAAAGACATAGAAGAAGAGTCACGGTGTTTTATTAGGTTTTGTTTGGTTTGGGCAAGGTTGTACTAGAACATATAATGTGACACCAATTCTTATATATGCATATATTTGTATGGCTTTACTGGAGTAAACGCTTCATCTTTCTCCCGCAGAATAGCAGATAGGTTTGAACTGCCAATCTCAGAGTTAGCGATTCTGTGCTTAATATGCAGTGTCACTAGAGTGCGCCTATTTGGAGAAGTCAGAGGCAGTTTATAATAGAATTAGAGACAGAACTTGAATTTATTAGTTGGCAAATGTTTACCCCTGTTATATAAAAATGCTGTTTAAATATTTTTTTATTTATAAATCGATTTTATATATATATATACATATATAGTAGAAAGTTGGAAAATACAGAGGTGCGTAGGATACAAGGTAAAAATAACCCATTTCACTATACAAAGACAATCCCTTGTAACATTTTTATGTCTAAGGGGACTTCAGCTAGTTTGTAGAAAATCTCCATGAGCTTTTCATTCCATTTTTCCATGAACTTTTTGAAGCCCCGCGTGTACCACGGCCCCCCCTTCGTCTATTGCTTTCCCCCCTCTATGTCTCTCCCGCTCCAGTTCTGGCCCTTTCTCCCTTGCCACACCCCTCTGCACAATAGAGTCAGGTCGTCCACTTGCTGTCCCCCTTCCAGGTCTTCCAGGGGCCCAGGAGCACCAAGCATTGTGGTGATTGCAAAATTCATCCCCACAGATGAGCAGCCGTGCAGGCTTCACACTCACTTGGCAAATTGTCAGCTCTTCTGTTTGAAATCTAAATTCTCCCCTCCATCTTGGGGAGATTTCTGGATGGCAGTTAACCCTACCGTGTCTTTACAGTAATAGATATCTAGAAGACTGCTTTCTCTATAACAAATACAAGAGGACTGTGAGCTAGCCAAATTGGGGGACTCTGATTTTTGTAAGGGATCAAAAAATTGGATCGATGCGGTAATTTTCAAGCAGATTTCCAGCTGACACATGCATAGCCGAGGTTTTATGTAATCAATGAAAGTGTACACACCATCAGGGTGTCCCCCTGGGAGAGACAATCCGCGGCCTCTCTCTGCCATGGAGTTCAGGAGTTCACACTGACAAAGACGGTGCGCTTGACCCAACCGCTCCAGAATGACTGGTTCCCCCAGTCACTCAGACCAGACGTAGCAAGAACAAAGTGATTGTGCATCAAAGACCCAACCGGGCCAGCACCCTGAGCATTATTACTGCGGGGAACCGTGGACAATGAGCGAAGTTGAAGGAACCTTGGTGGCAGAGTGGGTTAAGCATGGTGCAGGGACTCAGACAGTTTGAGCCTCCAGACCGCCCTGCAGAAGAAAGATAAGACTGTGCTCCCAGAGAGATTAAAGCCTCAGAAGCCCGAAGGGTTGCTGTGAGTCAGAATGGATTAGATGCCAGTGGGTTTGGATTACACAAAACTTAAACCCCAGGTATGTTACCAGTGACATCACCGTCTCTCTGCCTGGGTCTCTACAGCTGACGTGTAAATAAAAGTTCATGTCTCATCATTTTATTTTCCCCTCCTGGCTACCTTTTTAACCATCTTGCATCCAACCAACCAACAAAGCAGCCAAACAGACACACGTGGAATGCGAATTTTGAAAACCACTCCTGGCTTTTGAAGGTCGATTTGTACAAGCAGTTGGGTGGAGGGGAGGGGGTGGGGCGTCAGTGTTTCTTCGCTGCTTCCCTTTCCCAGAGAGAGAATTTAATGCTTTCTTTTCCACTCAGGCCAAAAGTGTGATCCAAACTGTCCCAATGGAAGTTGCTGGGGTGCAGGAGAGGAGAACTGCCAGAAATGTAAGTCGGGGGGAGCGCGTCCTGTGTCCCTCTCCTTTTTACGTTGGTGATTGCATGTGTCCTCCTTTGAAGTCTCCCGAGAGCACTCTAAGACCAGATGTCCGCCGTTATGTGAGTGACAGCCCTGCAGATCTCCCTGCATGCGCTTCATCCAGGGTGAGCTATTCCTGTCGCCTCAGGCTGGCATCAGTCAGTGAAAGCCAGCTAGCTCTCCTAGCAGACAGTACGCTCAGGAGATTTTCCTGCGAACGAGAGATCTGTCTATGTCTCCATGAGTCATTCAGCTGTGTGGGTTTCTTGGTTTTTTCCCCTTCTTTCTTTCTCTCTTAGCCTCCCCGGCTGTGTGGGTTTCTTGGTTTTTTCCCCTTCTTTCTTTCTCTCTTAGCCTCCCCTTCCCCTCCCTTGCTTTGGTTCTCACTGATAGAGAAGCATAAATAGTAGTTAGCAGAAGGGTTTTTCTGAGGCAATCCTACCTGAGTTAGGATAGAAAGGTTAGCTTGTATTTGTGAGTTTCTAGCTCCAGGTTCTCAGTGGCCACGGAATGCAGGGACACGTACGTGTGGGCTGCCTGCCGTGAAGTTTAATGGAAACGTGATTGTTAAGTCCCTGTCAGCACCAATTCCTGGCAGAGGCTTTGTTATTTGTGTGGTATTTTCAGACTTGCCCCCAGACACTCAGTTCCAACTAGGGGTCTCATTATCTAGCCAGTCTAAAGAGCTAGCCTTGATCTAGTTCTCCCAAGTGAGGACAAACTAATTAGAACAAAGGAAGGACAGTGATTAGATTTGATCTGGTTGAGAAAATGAAGTGGCAGGATCACTCGATCCATCCCTTTCCCATCTCTTCATGGACGGTTTGCAAGTGCTCTGCCACCTCCCTGCGAAACGATCCCTCCTTCTGCCAGTTGCTCTTCAGCTCATGGGTCACCTCTGCTCCGTTTTCAGTGACCAAAACCATCTGTGCCCAGCAGTGTTCGGGACGCTGTCGAGGCAAGTCCCCCAGTGATTGCTGCCACAACCAGTGTGCCGCCGGCTGCACGGGTCCCCGGGAGAGCGACTGCCTGGTGAGCACGCACTGTTTCCCTGCCCGGGTTGTCACTCCACACTGCCTCCCCAAGCAAAAGGACCATGGAAGGTCTCTCTGCCCAAGATTACATAGACTGCCTTTGGGAGAAACGTAATGTTTAGCCTCCAAACACACAGGTGGGGATATTCCTTGCCCTTTGCCAGGTGACAAAGTATACTTGATTATCTTGCCTCTGTCACTTACTGGGTAACCTTGGGCAAATTTTGTAACCTCTCTGTGCCTCAATTTCCAAATCTGACCATTGGGCGTTGCAAAGTATCTTCTTTTTTTATTTAATGTGATCTGTGTGATGTCGATGGCCAGCACCTGGACCTAGAAAGAGCACTAAACACATATGTGTAGGCATTATATTTATTGTTGCCATCACTACCACCATCATTAGAATTGTCATGACATTTAGTGTTTCACCTACTTCTGATCACGGATCCAGAAATTGAGTCTGTAACAGCCCAAATCTAATCTCCACACACGGAGACCAAAGCAGAGCCACAGAGATTGCCATGGCATGGCTGCGACTACATTGAAATTATGTGCCCCTAATCCCTCCCTTCTTTCTACCACCTTACAAAATATTCCTCAGCCGCATCTTCGTATGAGGTCTAGAAGTACACACTTTGTCCCTGTCGGTCCAGAAAGCTTTAACGTAAAACTTGAGCTGTTCCATATTGGTCTGTGGGCGCCTCCCATAGGTGTCCCTGAGATGGGGGGCAGCTTACAAATCCAGGAAATAGCAGCTATAGTAGATATGCATCCTGGAGCCAGTGTCAAGATCATGGGATATTCCCCAAGTGTGGTTGGGACCCCCCTCTCCATAAAAGGAGACGCCCCCCCTTAAGCTTTAACCTATTAGATCAGTATGACTCGGACCACAGGAAGCTTCTAAGTCCTGAGACCAACATCCTAGGGCTGATTCTGATGTACAACTCTCAGCCAAAGACCTTGCGTGTGACACCGAGTAACCAAAGTACCATGAGGTGCTTCCAAAAGCTCCGTGAAAAGTACTTGATCTTTCACTTCTGTTTCCACAAGATGCTTGAAGACCTCATGTATTTGGCAGACCTCTTTGAATGATAGTTTTTGTAGTTCATACAATAACAAAAGTCCAATATAATTGAGCTTTAAAAGGACTTTTGCTCCCTGAGTATTATTGTAATGTGTGGATTTCCTCAAAATTTTGGAAATTAATAAAGAAGAGATAAGTTTTATCTAAGATAATAATCATATAATATCAGAGATAGGACAGTATTTGACCTAAAAATGGGTACCCTATTTTTGCACAACACACACATTACACATTTTCCCAAACAGTGCAACATCCTCACGAATCAGTCTCCTATGCACCTTATGTGCATGTGTGTATTAGTTACTTGGACACATGACATGTGAAAAAGATACGGCATACTTTCAAGAGACAGATTATTTCTGACTCTACTGAAAGCACTTGCCTCAATTTTCCACTCTCGTGGACACCTGAGCATTAAGCTCTGTCGCACGAGTTCCCAGAAGGACTCAACAATGGTGATAGCTATCTAATTGCTATTGCTCTATGCTGCAGCCATTTCCGGTAATGAGTCTGACCTCCCTGGCTTGCCGTCCCTTCTGTGACAGATCTGCCGCAGGTTTCGAGACGAAGCCACATGCAAGGACACCTGTCCGCCATTAATGCTCTACAACCCCACCACCTACCAGATGGACGTTAATCCAGAGGGGAAATACAGCTTTGGCGCCACTTGTGTGAAAAAGTGCCCACGTGAGTTACATGTGATGAACCCTGCAATAGCACTGTCTCTGAGCCTCTCACGTGGAAGGTTGTTGGTGTGTTTGCCTTGTGGTCAAATGGGAAAGTAGGTGCTATCTCGTGCTGTGGGGAAGGGTCAGGGCATTGTCTGAAGAACACAGTGATGGCTGTACAGCAAGAAGCACTGCTCGCTGAGACCAGCACTGCCCACTCACAGGGTGAGTGAGGCCCAGGTGGGATCTCGTGGTGTGGAGACCAGCCTGCACACCAGGGATCCCTCTGGACCCCTGAAAGCCTGTTCCAGGGACCCAGAGTATTCCATTTTCCAATTGACAGCAAATCATGGTCCACTGGTCCATTTCTCTTTGTTGTTATCAAGCCTTTATAGAACAGAACACTGGATTATAGCATATGTCAGAAACCCTCCCTGATTTCTTCAGTGCTTTAAATTCTGGTTTTGCTTGGGATTGGGTTTTTAGGGTGATTTTGCGTTCTAGTAGGCTGTGGGATTGGGGGAAATGGTGACATGAATTGGAAAGTGAATAGTTGGTTAACTAAAGGATTTAGAACCAGCCTTGAGGTGCATGAGGTGTGATTAGTTAAGAAACAAAATTTTAAAGAACAATTCTGATAGGAAGATTGATCCTACCAGATTTGTGTGCCAGATTTAATCTGGTACAAAAATAAATTAAACACAATAACAAGCCAGTGAAAGGTAATAGGGAACGGGGATAAAGCTTCTGCCACGGTATCGAACAGAGATATGATCTTTGAGATGCATCCAAAGAGAACTTCAAAACCCACTAACAGCCCAATAGAGAGCAAAGTAAGAATGTTCTTTGAAGGGAAACAAAAGCAGACAATTCACAAAAGATTCCAAATGTCCAGCAATGTTACCGAGAGGCTAGTTACTGAATTCAAACCTGGGACACATTCCTAAAAATAAAGCAGCAGTTTAGACACATACGTTTTTCTCTAAGGGTAAAGGAGGCAAGAAGAAGGAGAGCCCCTTGATCCTTCCAGGACTCCACTAATAAACCATTTCCAGATCAGAAAGGCACCCCTGAGGAGACACGAGGTGTCTACCACAGACTGAAATGTCCCCCCAACCACAGGAGAACAGTGGTCAGGGGAAGAGTGGTCTTTGTTCAGAGTCACATGCTTTTTTAATAAACACTAGACCAGAGCACGTACACAGGTACAGATGAGATAAGAGCTCATGACACACTGGAATGGGAGTAATGATACCAGGAAGGTTGGGGGAAGGTGGGGAGAAGAGAGGAGGTAATGATCGACACATAACCACACACACACACACACACACACACACACACACCCTTCTCGGGGTGGGGGGGTGACACAACAGAAAACGGGAATGGAGAGAGTGGTCAGCGAAAGATATGAAAATAATAGTAATTTATAATTTATCAAGGGGTCACGAGGGTAGGAAGGAGGGAGGGAGGGAAAAAATTGGAGCTAACACCCCAAAAGGTCAAAAAAGAAAGTAAATGTTTAGAAAATGTTGATGATGGCAACATATGTACAAATCTGGTTGATACAATTGATGTATGATGTTTTAAGACCTGTAAGAGTGCCCAATAATATGATCTTTTATAAAAATAAACCTTAAAAAATAAATCAATAAATGCACACTTAAGCTTTAACTGTAGGTGCTGCAATAAAACAGATATGGGGATGGGGTAAGGAGAGGGAAGAGGTGAGCTTCCAAGAGGGCCTTTCAATCCATGAGCACGCAGAGTGTTTTCTCCCTAACGCTGCAATTCTGTGCCTCTGAGGAGACATCTCGATTTCCCCATAGGATAGTCTAGAGTGCTTAGCCTCTTGAACTTGATTCCTTCTCTGTTTGCCACCTTCCCTCCTTTTGTCTTCCAGCCAGAGGATTACAGGCGCCTTTCATCAGCCCCTTTATACGTGGGACGTGTGAACATGTGTGTGAGGTCCAGGGACACCTGGCTCTGCTTTCACCACCTGCCTTTCATGTCTCCTCCCCAGATAACTATGTGGTGACAGACCACGGGTCCTGTGTCCGTTTCTGCAGTGCTGACAGCTACGAGGTGGACGAGGATGGCGTGCACAAGTGTAAAAAGTGTGAGGGGCTGTGTCCTAAAGGTAGAAACTGATCTTCGTTTTCCTTGGAAGTCGAGTTGCCTCCTTTCACCCTGTCCCCCAAAGGCCCTTCAGCACACTTAGGGTTGAATAAACTCGTTCTGCAGACTCAGTTACGTGTTCTTTTCTTGATCCCATGGGCTGTCCTTAGAATAGCCTCAGTGTCCATTTCCTCCTGTTTATCTTTTATTTAAAAAACTGCCATATGGTTTAACTTTCTCCATATTTTGATCAATATATGTACGTATACGTCTTTTGGCCTATGTGGGTTTTTTTGTTTGTTTGTTTTTTCTTTTTTAACATTTTATTAGGGGCTCATACAACTGTTATCCCAATCCATACACACATCAATTGTGTAAAACGCATTTGTACATCGTTTCTCAAAACATTTTCTCTCCATTTAAACCCCCGACATTAGGTCCTCATTTTTCCCCTCCCTCCCCACTCCCCCCTCCCACATGAGCCCTTGATAGTTTATAAATGGGTATTTTGTCATATCTTGCCCTGTCCGACGTCTCCCTTCATCCACTTTTCGGTTGTCTGTCCCCCAGGGAGGAGGTCACACACAGTTCCATGTAATCGGTTCCCTCTTTCCTACCCATTCTCCCTTTACCCTCCCTGTTTTGCCACTCACACCACTGGTCCTATAGGGCTCATCCGTCCTGGATTGGCCTATGTGTTTTTTTTAACCAAACTAAACTGTCTTACTATTAGTAGTTACTAAAACGTTTCAGTCCTTAACAGATGACAACATATATTTCTTAAAAACACAAAGTCTTCTGTATCAAAGACCATCTCATACTCAGTTAACATCGATTTAATAAAACCCCACCCACGGCCGTCAAGTCGAATCTGACTCAGAGTGACCCACAGAGTGTTTCTGAGGCTATACGCCTTTTATTGAGGCAGATAACCTCATCTTTCTCCCATGAGTGGCTGGTAGGTTTGAACCCCTGACTCTTGCGTCTGTAGTTCAGTGTTTACCCAGCTGTGCCACGGGGACTCCTTGTTGATTCAAAAGTTTCCTACTATTCTGTTTCACTGTCGTTCTACTTTCCCAGTGAATCATTGGTAATGGCTTTTCTTTCTTAAATTCCATGAAGTGTCATGGGCCTCATAGAGAGATCTTGCCTCTGTAATCTTCTTCAATTAAGAAGAGTTTCTCAGATCTCCTCTCTCTCCAAGTTTTGGCTTTGTTTTTGTACAATGTTTTATGACATCGGTTTGAGGTTTTTGGTTTTTTTGCTTTGCTCTGAAAGACTTTATATTTCAGAGCAGTGTTAGGTTAGATTTACAGAAAAGTGGAGCAGGAAGAAGAAAGTTCTCATGTGCACCTCTACAGCCTGCACAATGTTGCTACGACTCACTTCTTGCTCTGAGAGTCTGCTGGAAAGCAATGGGTTTGACTTTACAGTTTGGTGTAGTCCATTTGTCATATGCGATGAACCATTATTGATAGCTTATGACTAACTGGAGTCCATTATTTATTTGAAGGTTTACTCTTTGTGTTACACACTCCCATGGGTTCTCACGAACACTTCCACGTGTCCACAACTATTTTATCATATCCAAAAAGCCTTCCCCTTTTATTGTTTCTGACTATTCCCGGGTTTTTTTCTGTGACTGCTGTAGCTTAAAAGTTTTTGAAACAACTGCTTCAAATAAATTCAAGATTTGTTATTTTTTTAAAAAGCTTTCCCCACCCCCTTTTTACTTTCTTTTAACTACCTGACTCTGGTTTGGCAGTCAGGTTCTTTGAATTCTAAACAGTTCTAAAGACTGGATTTCACAACCAGTTGTTAGATGGGTGTAACACTCTAGAAGGTTTGAGTGAGAAGTTTAAGGCAGACCTCATTAGGGCCACTCACTGCTCCAGACAAGAACTGAGGCTGCGGCTGAGCTGGCAGGAGGCAGGCATGTGGAGATCCCAAATTGACTGCAAGGACAAGGTCAATATCAAGGGACTCCTGAAAGAGAGTCAGCAGTGAGGGTGGTGGTGGAGAAGAGGGGTGATTGCCTCTGCAGGAAGGTGTGGGGTGGGGACAGCTCTAAAGGAAAAGGCTGAAAAGCAGCTTTCAAGTACAATCAGACTCGAAAGATCGTGCTTCCATAAAGAATGATAGATATTATGGTAGCAAAAAAATTTGCTATTTACATTCCAAAGAGGGAGAGCTTGAGAGAGAGGGAGAAGCTTCATGATGGAGATGGGATCTGGGGTGGGGATTCAGGAGTGGAAATGATTTAATAAATAGCCTTGGAATGCATGTATGCAAAGGGACATTCTGACAGACAGATGTGGTAATAAAATGTAAGGAAACATGGGGGGTGTGGGGGGGGGAGGAGCAGCCACCCACCCGATAAACGTTATTATACCATTTGAAAAAATGTACCACTGGAAAGCCATTAAAATCATATCTGAGAATAATTTTAATGACACAAGAAAGGTTCATGGCAGTCAATTAAAAAAAGAATTTCCACTTAAATCTCTGGTATGATAAAGCCATAGGGAATAACAAGCAAAGTCCCAAGATCATTCGATATAGGTACAGGGATTTCTGATGATTGTTCCCCTATCATTCATCTTCTGTGTGTTCAACCTTCTCTTCGGTGAACGCATCGCCCCTTTTCTTACTGTTGTGGTAAATATACATCTATGACAACATGTCAACATTCCTCGGCTGTACAAGTGATTCAGACTAATTATGTTCAACATGTTATCTAACCTTCCCTAGACACTTTTCATTTTTAAAACCTATGTGCACAGTGGTGTTTTGAAACAGAAGATAACCCTGCAGAACCAGTGTGAGGCGATGCAAAGGCAGAGAGTGTGGGATCGAGGGGGTCTCTGGTTAGAGCTGCTTGAACACAAGCAACACTAACTGCCCTGCTTTCACGTGAGACCAGCAGGAGGCAGGGACCGCATGCCCTTCTCTCACCCCGTGGTGGCCGATGAGAGGAGGAAGACATTATTTATACCGTGGTGGAGAGAGCCTCCCCTGCTGGTCTTCAGTCCTAAAACCAGTTCCTGCTGAGCCACCTTCAACTGGTGGTGGCGCCACGTGTGTCTTGCAGAACTACGTTCCCGAGGGTTCCCACTGGATGTTTTCCTTAAATGAGTCCCCCATCCTTTCTTCTAAGACGGCTCTAGGCAGACGTTGGTGGCCAACCTAGTTATTCAGCCAACGTGAGTGGAATAAATATCTCTCTTATCTTAACAGTGTGTAATGGAATTGGAATTGGTGAGTTTAAAGACACGCTTTCCATAAATGCTACAAATATTAAGCACTTCAAAAATTGCACGACTATCAGTGGAGATCTTCATATTCTGCCAGTAGCATTTAAGGGGTGAGTAACAGATACAGTTACCAGTATGAAGAGAAAGTCATCACGATCTGTTTCTTTCACCGATGCTGACAGTTAATCAATAATCATTCTGTTATTGTTTCAGTGACTCCTACACACGCACGCCACCTCTAGATCCGAAGGAACTGGACATTCTAAAAACTGTCAAGGAAATAACAGGTTCGTATTCTCCTATGAGATGAACATAAGGGGAAGTCAGCGTTTTACGAGGCACCGTATGTCAAAGGCCCGTGCTCCGAGGGCACCAGTTCATTCTTGCACGGGCTTGTACCCCAGTACAGTGTGCTTAAACACGTCTCAACTGTCACTGGATGGGTGCAAACAAGTTTTCTCAGTAATACAACTTACCCTAGTCTCAATACGGTGCCTTCAAAAAACAAAATGTCCTGTAAAAGCAGTGGCCTTGGAGGGGCTCTGATGGGCCAATTAAATTCCAGGTTAGGCAGCTGTTTCTTTTGGATTCCAAAGAGTTCATCTTGATAGACTTCTCTTGAAGGACACAGGACAGCCATGGGAGCTTTTTAAGAAGAAATTTTAAAAAGACGGGAAACTGCGTTGGTGAGAAAAAGCAAGGAAAAAGACACCATGAATTGGTGTGCACCTGCTCATTCTTCAAGTGCAGCAAAGGTGGCTCTGTGACCCTCCCCACTGTACACCAGTGAACTGACCCCCTCCCCACCACCACCATTGTTACCACCACTATCACCACTGCCGCCGCCAGGCTTCTTTGGCTCCCCAAACTTAAAGAGCACTCAAGAGGAGCATAAGCGGTGCCCAAACAGTCAATCTGGCATGTTGTATGTCGACATCAAAGAATGTAGAATTGTTTGAGACCATTAGAGAGGTGGACACACTGCCTTTAGAACTATATAGACCTCGATGGAGGACATGCCGAGAAACATTAGTGTCCCGCTGTGGTACTTTTGAAGATTGGTTTGAAATGAAGACAGCATGGACCACTCTATGTATGTAATGACAGTGCCATGAATGGCAGCTATACTGGGGAACAGGCACCTGTTAGGTGTCGTCAAGTGTGGAGCCCAGTAAAGGCCTCAGGACCTCAGCACAGTAGGGATGGCCTTGGGTGGGTTAGACT